TGTCTTGATGATTTGTCTAGATTTGTGAGTGGGTATTAAAGTCCCCAGCTATGATAGTGTTAGAGTCAATATCTTTTTTAAGTTTGCCTAAAAGCTGCCTTATGAAAGTTGGTGCTCCTATGTTGGGTGCATATATGTTTAGGATGGATATTTCTTGTTGATTGATTGAACTTTTTATCATTATATAGTGACCTTCTTCATCTTTTTAAATTTTTGATTGCTTAAAGGTTATTTTGTCTTATATTTAGATCACATTTCCTGCTTTATTTTGTGTTCCAGTCACCTGAAATTTTGCTTCCCATACTCTTACTTTGAGTTGTGACTGTCCTTTCTGGTGAGATGAGTCTCTTGGAGACAATGTATTGTTTCCTCGTGATATTTTATTCATTTTGCCATTCTGTGTCTTTTCAGTGGTACATTTAGTTCATTCACATTCAGGCTAATTATTGAAATCTGAGAGTTTATCCCTGTCATGAGGTTCTTATAGAGTTGTTGTTGTTCCTGTTTGTTTGTTGTCTTTCTTTTGATTTTTGTGTTGATTCATGTATGTTTTCAATCTTTTTTCTGCACTCTTGTGAAGAACATTGTCACTCTTTTATCCCTTTCTTCTGTGTTTAATACTTTAAGTGTTTCTTGTAGAGGGGGTCTAGAGGCAGCGCAAGTTCTTGGGGATTGAATGGGAAAGATTTTAATTATCCTTCATTGATAAAGCTTAGCTTAGCTGGGTAGGTTATTCTTGGTTGAGATTGCTTATCTTTGAGAACTTTGAAGATTGGGCTCCTAGTTCTCCTACCATGAAGTGTCTGTAGATAAATCTGCTACTATTCTAATTGGTCTTCCCTGGTAGACAGTCTGATCTTTTTCTCTTGCTGCCTTTAGGACTTTTTCTTTTATACCTTCTTTGTTTAGTTGAATTACTATGTGTCTAGGAGTTGGTCTTCTCATTTGTTGTCTTGCAGGAGTTCTCTGAATCTCTTGTGTTTGAATTTTTGCATCATTGATGAGATGTGGGAAGTTTTCTTGAATAATTTCATGGAATGTTTGTTCCAGGGTGGTCTCTGTGTCTCTTTCTGCCTCAGGAAGTGCAATTACTCTTAGGTTCAGCCTTTTGAAATAATCGCTCATCTCTTGAAGGTTTTGTTCTGTCTTTTGAAGCTTCTTTTCTATGTTTTTGGCAATTTGGGTTCGTTCTATCTTTTGGGCCTCAAGCTCTGAGATTCTTTCTTCTGATTGGCTGATTCTGCTGTCCATGTTTATCAGTTTGTTATTTATTTCAATCATAATATTCTTTGCTGCTGTTATTTCAGTTATCAACTCCTCCTACTTTCCTCTTGTCTCTCCTCAATTCTTTAATTCTCTCTATTATTGTCTTGATGTCTGGAATTTTAGTATGCGACCAGTTATTCTGGGGGCTCGTCATTGTTTGCATTCCGAAGTCTGTTTTCTCAATGTCTGACCTTCCAGGTGTCTGTGTGAGACCCATATTCTTCTTTTGGTTTTTCTTCATTTGTGTAGATTTTTTCTCCACTTTTTTTTCTCCCCCCCTTCTTTAATTCTGTTGTTCAGAGATGGTGGGGCTGCTTTTTACTTCTTCCTTGTGTGGATCCTCTAGCTTTTTTCAATTCTGAAGCTGGATTGAGTTTGGGACTGTACTTTTTTGCAGTTTTGAGATTTAATTGAGGGGGAGCTGTGATTCAATATCTATCTGCAGATCCAAATATGCACCGACAGGTGTGTGTATACTATGGAACCCACTTTCCTCTGCTTTACAATCTGTTCATGCAGTGAGGAATAGTTTTGCTCCCTGAAAGCAGAATGAGGTAAGAAAAAGGAAAAGAATGGAACAAAGGAGGGTTGGAGAGAAAGGTGGAGAGAGAGAAGAGTAAGAGGGAAAACAGACAAATGTACTGACTAATAAATGAAAGGAGACACAAAGACAAACAAGTAAGCAAACAAAAAACAAACAAAAAACTAAAACAAAGAACAAACAAAAATGAGCAAGTCAAACAGACAAAGAGTAAAACTAAAAAACAATAAAAACAAGGAGCCATGCTCACTCTGTGATCGTTCCTGTAAGCCCAACGTCCTTTCAGCTCTGATCTCTAGCTCTCATCACAGGCTGGTAGGATTGCTCACAGCTAGGGTCAGATGCCCCAGGCCTGCTGTGGAAGGAGGGTGGATCAGATCTAGACTCAGCCCACTTGTTGCCTGTCAAGTCTGCCACTCAGATCTGACCTGTGGTTAATCTAACATGGGAGAGGGGCTTCTGTCTCTCCCAGTTTGATGCAATTGCCTTTGTCCCAAGTTGGAGGTCGGGTGGAGCTGGGTGGAGTTGGACAGGGCAATGCAGATCTATGCCTGATCCTGGGACAGAGAAAATGGCTGCAATCGGCATTTCCCCACCAGGCATGGGCCTCCTACCTGCAAGACAGTTGCAGGTTGGCATGGTGTGAGGTAGCTCGGGGTGGTGCAGCCAGTAAGGTAGCCTGGAACTCCATAGGTCTGGGAGCTGAGGGCTGGCCCAGATGGCAGCAGCATGGCAGTGGTAGTATGGGGGTAGCATGGTGGTGGCAGCAGTGGTAGCGGTAGCAGCACATGGGACCTGGGGCTTCCAACCAATGGGCTGGTGCAGCTGGCCGAGGACCAGGCTGCCAGCAGCAGCCACCCAGGGGAAAGTGAGAGTCTTTATGGATACTCGTCTTTATGGAGACTCTCACAGTCCGATTTGTCCTATCACCATCTTGCTGGAAATCTGAAGCTTTTTCTTTTGAGCTATTTATGGATTATGAAAACCTAAGTAAAATATACTTTTGTAAACACAAGTTTGAAGCAATTATACTTCCTTTTACCAGCTCTATCTAGAATTTTAAAACTATTTTAAGTATTCTTAATTTATGGCATTATAGTTATTTGCATAAGTTCAATAAGAATCTGTATCCTTTTGTAACAGGACACAATTGGAGATACTAGTTATTTTACTAATGGACTAGACTGGCATATTTTCGAATATACCCAGGTTGCTTTGAGGAATTGAAGTTAACTTCACAGACCCCAATATAAAGCCCCTTGGAAAGACTGGCCTGGTAACTTGTTCACACAGTACTTTTACAAGGTTTCTGCTTTATGGTAAGTAAAGAATGTTACTTTTTAACAGAACCAGGAACTTCGAGTTATAGTGAGAAATTCACCAAATTTGTATAGATATTATAGGCAAAATGTAATGACTAATCCCTGGCATGGCTAACCTCTAGAGGCTTTTGAAAATCTAAATCTTAGATTCCTTATTTTAAAAGTTTCAGCAAAACCAACTTAAAAAACCTTATTTTGCCAATTACTATTCTTGTTTCATTTTATGCAAATAATCAGACTAAGTATAATGTGATTAAAATTTATTTTGCAAATAAAAATTGGTCCTACTATGAATTATCTTTGGTAAAAATGAGGGACTGGAGAGGAAAAAATATATGTTTCAGAAGAAAACTATAGTCCACCTATTTTTAGATTCCAGCCTTATTCATTGTTTGGGGGCTTTGTTCTTTGTTACTTGCCTACAATTTGGACTGAATCCTGAATTATTTTCCGGCTACAAGTCTACAAACTAATGTTTCTAATTTTTTTTTACCATTTTTCTGACTAGGAAACACTGAAATTAAAACTGTTTGGTTAAAGCCCTGAAAACTGAAGCTAGCCACATTGATGTAAACTTTGTGAGACTACTCAGAAAGCTCACTGGAACACCTAGATGCAAACTGCAAATCAGAAAAATTTTTTCACATTGCCACTATCTCCTCCCTTCATCTGAAGAGCCCTTGGGCATAACATCTAAAACTTAACATAACAGCTAACTTAAAAACTGAGTTTATAGTTTTTCTAACATTTAACTTTTGTTCTTATTTTATTTGCATAGAAATGCTTCATCAAATATCAGATTGCTTAAACCATATAGAGGCCTGACTTTGGTAGAAGCTCATCTGTAACATCACTGCCTGAAACAAGACACAACAGTTGAACTGGACTGGCCTATACTCAGAATGGAGAAACTACTTCAATGGCTTATAAGAAATCCACCAACCTAATCTTGGGAGCATAAAATTCCTTGTGGGAAGTTTCATAACAGGGAATGTTGGAGTTCAGAAAAAAATGCCCCCAAATGAATTACTCAGAAGCAACCTCAGAAAAAAGTTTTTCTCTAACCTTCTCATGCTCTCCTCTCAGTCTCATTTCTCCCAGAGACTAAGCATAAAAATTAGAGTCCTATTTTCTCAAGAATGGTCATAGAAACAAGAAATTATTTTTCCCAAAGTCAACCATAGTACCTAAACAAAAAATTACTCTAATCTTTCCTGCACCATTCTGTATAAAAATAGACCATAGAGAAATTCTCTGACCTACCTTGTTTGAATGTAGGTCATAAGACCCCCTCCAGGGAGTACTCTGCCACATACCCAGAAGGAAGACATGTGTGCTCAGGCCAAGGAGAATCTAGATAGATAGACCTTGCTGGACTTCTCCACTTTGTCTATCAGCATTAGAGTTTTTGTTCAATTGTGCTTCTTTTTTTTCTTTTGATATTTTTAGAGACAAGTTCTCTCTGTGTTCCAGACTGATCTCAACTTCCTGGGCTCAAGCAATTCTCCTGTCTCAGCCTCCCAAAGTGCTGGGATTATAGGCATGAGTCACTGTGCCTGGCTGTTCAATCATAGTTTTACATGGCTGTTCAAACTTTGAAACCTAAATATTCAAAAATGGATAATTTCCCCTGTATCTTTGAAATGTCTTTTCTCCAATTAACCTGCCTTTGTGAGTTGATTTTCAGGAAAATTTCATAGAGCCAAGGTGAATTTTCATTCTTTGTCCCTACAAAACTAATGTATGGGCATTCAGAAAGTGGAAACTAGTGTGTTCTCTATTTAAGACTTATGTGCAAAGCAAGATCTTCAGAAAAGCGAGAGGCCAAAAGTTCAGGGTCACCCAACTCAACCAGCCCAGCAGCATCCACAATGGCCTTGCCCTTTTCTTTGCTGATGGCCCTGCTGGTGGTCAGCTGCAAGTCCATCTACTCTCTGGGCTGTGATCTTCCTCGGATCCAAAGCCTGGGTAACAAGAGGGCCTTAATGCTCCTGGCACGAATGAGGAGAATCTCTCCTTTCTCCTGCTTGAAGGACAGATATGACTTTGAATTCCCCCAGGAGGAGTCTCATGTCAACCAGAACCAAAAGGCTCAAGCTATCTCTCTCTTTTATGAGATGATCCAGCAGACCTTCAATCTCTTCATCACAAAGGACTCATCTGCTGCTTGGAATGAGACCCTCCTAGGCAGATTCTGCACTGGACTTTATCAGCAGCTGGATGACCTGGAAGCCTGTGTGATGCAGGAGATAGAGATAGAAGAGAAACCCCTGATGGATGAGGACTCCTTCCTGGCTGTGAGAAAGTACTTCCAAAGAATCATTTTCTTCCTGAAAAGGAAGAAATACAGCGCTTGTGCCTGGGAGGTTGTCAGAATAGAAATCATGAGATCCTTCTTTTTATTATCAAATTTGCTAAAAAGATTAAGGATCGAGGAGTGGGACTGGGTCTAACATGGAAGCGATTTTCATTGACTCACATATCAATTCACACTTTTCATGAATTCTGCCATTTCAAAGACTCATTTCTTCAGTCACCATGACATCAATGAAATCAAAATTTTCAAATGTTTTCAGGAGTACTAAGTAACATTGCATAGCGCTGTAGGCACTAATCCCTTTCTGATGACCATGATGATGGAGCTGTTTAAATATTTACTTAACAATATTTAAGATTTCAATTATTTTTGTCTATGTGATATCATGTGTAACTTTATACTGTGGTTTATATCGTATGTTCTTTATATTTTGTTAATTTATTTCTTGGCATTGTTAATTGAATTTTTACTAAATAAAACTTCTTGTATTTGTTTATTCTTGAAAATGAAATTCCCAGTCTGATGGTGCGACCTGACTAAAAATAAATGGTACAATTCATTTATTCATTATTATTATATTCCAGTTATAAGTAAAAATGAAGTTTCTCTAAACCAGGTTGTATGTTGTAGTCCGGATATAAAGTTGAACACACAAACGCAGTTTCTGTTTTCTTGTATATTTGACTTTTGTATGAAAAAAACTAAAAATAGTTATGTTGAATGCTATAATGAGAAGAAGGAACAACCAATGATTTCTCTCAACAGAAAGTAAACCAAGGCATGTGAGGAAATAAAAATATACACAGATATTTCTTTGTAAGTTCACTGGTAGACATCTAATAGAAAATCTTATTGCCAGTTGGATATATGAGTTTGCAATTTACAAGGAATGCAATCACTGGAGGTTTGTACATGGCAAAGGAAAGCCAAGAAAGGAAGTTCATCAGGTGAGGAGTGAGTGTAGAGGGAGAAAAAGCACTTACACGTCATTCTGAGGACATTCAACTTTTAAAGGGAGGGAAGAGAAGAGGCACAAAGGAAATGGAGTTGAATAATTAGAAGGACAACAAGAGACAATGGTGGTAAATGTGTTAAGAAAATAAATGTGCTGAGAAGAATAATCAGTGGATTCGTTAAAAGTGTGGCTTGAAGCTGCGCACTAATTGGGAAATAGATGGCATTGGCACTCTTGGTGACAGCTGGTTTGCTAGAATTAGTAAACAAGAACTATTCTAGAGTAGGTGGAAGTGTAACCCAGAGAAAGTTAGTGACTTTAAAGTGAAGAAGGAAATAGGATGGAATTCAAAAAGAATGTGGGTTATTTTTTCTGTGCATAGCTTTATTTTTTTTTGCAATACATTTTTTTCTGAATAGATTTCATGTAATTGATGTACTGGTAATCATGTTAATACATTTAATATATTTGTTTTAAATCATGATATTTAATTACAGCAATAATTTGTAATTGTTTTAATTAATACATTAAAATCAGTGGGATGCTTAGTTTTTGTTAATTCATTAGTCAGAAATATATAACTAATTAAATTCTTCATCCAAATATTGAATTTGTACTGATAATATAATAAACCCTGAAATTATTGGCTTTGTTAAGTAAGTTACTTAGCATGCATCTTTGTCAATACCAGTTTACCAGTTTTACTGCTGTGTTATAACACATTTCTTTTTCTGATAAGGTTAGGTATGATAAGAATTCTATTTTTTTTTTTTGAGTTGGAGTCTCACTCCTTCACCCTGGCTGGGGTGCAGTAGTATGCACCCTCACGACCACTCCAGCGTCAACCTTCTGGGTTCCAGCGATCCTTCCACCTCAGCCTTCCCGAGTAGCTGGAACTATAGAAGAATGCTACCACGCCCAGCTATTTTTTAAAATTTTATTTTATTGCAAAGATGAAGTCTTACCAAGTTGCCTGGGCTGGTCTCAAACCCATGGGCTCAGGCAATCCGCTCGCCTCGGCCTCCTAAAGCGCTGCGATTACAGGCTGAGCCACCAAGCCTGACCTTATAATAATTCTTTTATGTTATTCCTTAGTAATTTTTCCTGATTTTCTGAATATTGGCATCTTATATTTATCCAAAAATGACCAAATCACCACAGACATAAAGAATAACAAAGTTCCTTCACAAATTAAAAATGTAAAACTGGATCAGAGAAACCAGTACTTAAAATAAAGAAAAAGTTGCAACTTGGCGAGACCTCTTCTCTACAATAAATCAAAAAATTAGCCAGGCATGGTAGCACGCGCCTGTAGTTCCAGCTACTTGGAAGGCTGAGGCGGAAGGATCGGTGGAGCCCAGCAGGTCGAGGCTGCGGTGGCCGGGGCGGCCACTGCACTCCAGTTTGGGCGACAGAGTGAGACTCCAACTCAAAAAAAAAAAAAGAAAAAGAAAAAGTTGTTCATGAACCATAAAAATTCAGAGAGCAAGGTAGAGATAAATACAATTTATGAGTAAAAGGAGATTTAACAATCATAATAGGAATCCAGAATACAAAACTTACAAAATCACTCATAATTTACATGAATGAATTTGACATTGAAATTTCATTCTCTTTGGATGAATGAATGATGTTGGTCAACCCACTTAATCTCCTTGTGCCTCAGTTTTCTTGTAAATAAAATGTGTTCAAAATATTTGTATCATTGTTAATATTAAAGGAACACATATGTTTTAAATGCATAGCATCTTCCTTCAAGAAAGGTGTTAAAATATGATAGGTATCTTTCTATTTTTCTTCATACGACTGTAGATGAGAATATTATTTGTCTTTCCACAAAATTCTTAGCAACTGTGTCCTATCTTTTAGTAATTGACCTCCAAAGGAGGTAGCCTAAAACAACAGAATTCTGTCATCAACTGTACAAAGCCTGAAAAATTGTCGCTTCTCATTTAGAAAAAGTGCCCTATTTGTACTGAGTCAGGTACTGGTGGCTTGTATAAATACCTGAGAGAGGGACCCAGCATCTAGATTGACGTGCAGAAGACACGTGATGCTTATGTGCTGATTCTGGCACCTACACATTCCCTTCTTCATTCTCAGCAGTCCAGGACACACTGACATGTCCCCAGGGTTTCCTTCCTTTCCAGGCAGAATTCCCCATGTGACCCTGGTCATTCGCTCCTTCACCTAGAGTTGCTTTCTATTCTGTTGTGGCTCCAGTTTCATGATTTCCCTAAAAGCAGAACACCACAAGTAGAAAGCAGACATTAAAGAAAATTTCGAGGTTTTGCAGAAACATCTGTGAGAGAGGCCTTCCTGAATTTCCATTGAATATGACGGACTAGTAGCGGTAGCTAAAAGGAAAGAGAAAGCAGGATCCAGTTGATGTGTGGGCTGCTGAAAACCCTCTCAGGGGAAGACAACTCCCCAGTGGACAAGTATGACAAGGGCTGTGACCAAGACTGGAGGGCTGCTTTCTGACCAATGCAGAAACCCTACCACTTCCATGGGGACTGCTCTTATGCTGTGAAAAGGCCACTTCTTGGCAAGAACAGAGTCTACTGCTGTCATAAGCCGGTTTCCTTACCCTTGGTCTGTTATAATGAGAGCCAGTGTCCAGTTTCAGACAGGGAATGAACTCTCCTTAGGATTGAGAATTGTAGGGACAGAAAGAGCTGTATTCCCTGCCTATGGCCTACCGTGCCAACCAGTTCACCTTCTCCAGAATCACCCCCTCAACATACTATGGGACTCCAAGAGGAAGGCAGTGTTGTCAATCTGGATTGAATCTTAATAGTAGTCAGTAAAGCTCATTCCTAGGGTACTAACGCTTAACAGTATGATATTTGTTCCACAGATCATTCCTATTCATGGACTTCAAACATTAACAAATAAAAGAATATTCTCATTGTCACTTTAAATAATGATCTTGAAAGCTTCTCCACCCAATAGTCAAAACTTGTCCTAAGTAGCAAAAGAAGAAGTCCCTTAAAAGCTAAGGAATAGCTGGGCTTGGTGGCTCAGCCTGTAATCCCGCACCTTGGGAGGCTGAGATGCTGAGCCTGCAGGTTCGAGACCCGCCTGGGCAACTTGGCGAGACCTCATTTCTACAATAATCAAAAATGAGCCGGGCGTGGTAGCGCGCACCTGTAGTTCCAGCTACTCGGAAGGCTGAGGCGGAAGGATCGCCGGAGCCTGGCAGGTCGTGGCTGCAGTGGCCAGGAGCGGCCACTGCACTCCAGTGTGGGCGACAGAGTGAGACTCCAACTCAAAAAAAAAAAAAAAAAAAAAAGCTAAGATTTATTTTTTCAAATTTATCAATTTGGTATAATTTGAGAGGCATCATTGTAATCAGCACTATACTTTCACTGAGGTATTTCACCAAGAAGTGTGTGTGAATTTCTGAGGTAGCAGAAAGGGCCTGCAACGGCAGAGATCTCTTAAATCTTTTCCTTGGGCTATGTATTCCGTACCATATATATTTATGGTTACTATTTTTGCTATATATATATATATATATATATATATATATATAGTGAATTTTCCCATGTCAATTTCAGTAACTACCTGCAAAAACTTGACAATTTATAAGGCAGAATTCTAGGAGGCATTCTGAGGAAAATTAAAAACTATTCACTCTTCACATCAAAGATGAATCTGATTTGTACATTCATTTAGGAAATAGTACTTTACAGAAATACTTGGAAGAGGAGAAGTTATTCTCCTAAGCTGAAGTGAAATATATATAGTATTCATTTGCTGATTCTGCTATCTAGTAAAATTCCCCCTTCTCCTGTTTTTCTGAATCCCATTCTTCACTCTTGTTTGGGATCAGAGAATGATACACCAAATGAAGATCTTAGAAGCTGCCTCAGAAGAAAAAGTTATTCTCTGACTTTCTCCCGCCCTCCTGTCTCTCACCCCTCAGTCTTCCCCAAGTTATCCACAGAAACTAGAAACTTTCTTTTTCAATCCTGATCATGGGAAACAGGTTCCCTTTTCCTCAAGGACAGCCATGAAACCCAAAAATATTGCTCTAAATTTCCCTTGTCTTTCTATGTAAAAATAGGCCATAAATTTTTTTTTCTGATCTGACTTGTTTGATTATAGCTCAAAAGACCACCATTCCAGAAAGGGTCCTGCCCCATAAGCAGGGGAAAGGAATACTGCACAGAGAG